TTCGATACGCAAGAGCATGCTCTACGTATGTACAATTTCTAAAACAAGGTAAATTATTGACAAATAAGTTGATGAAACAAGAATATCAGCGGTCTCATTTAAAGTCATCATTTCGTAAGTTCTATGGTCGATACAATGACCTTGTCAGCAAATACAATTTATCATTGAGTCAAATGCTGACTGACGTTTTTCATACTAATTGTTAGGCAATTATTTACACACTGAATTGTCGACGGATTTTTCTGTTATTTCCCGATCATGACAAGGAGCACACGGCGGGTGTGACCTGTCGGCAGGGGATGCTCACTCCTCCATGGCACCTGATCCCACCTCTGATGTTTGGAGGTCCGTGTTTGCTCTGCTCCTATTTTGTATTATATAATGGACTTTTGAGCTTGAATACTGTTCGTTATCTCCATATATTTCATATTAGAAATTTAAGGGTAAAACAATAATCGATTTATTTACTGACTCCGCATTTAAATATCAGACACAGTTTAAAGTCATTTTAACTATAGAAACGTGGGGTTATTCAAGTTCAGAATCGGTGAAAATTTTAATTTGAACGTAAATAACAAATATCATGTTCAACTACACTCTATCTCGTATTTTTATTTTTTACCTCAGATATGCCATATATAGCTTTAAGTATTAATGTATTTAAATGATGTAATTAAAAAAATGCACATAAACCATATTTACATTTATTAAAGCTGAATTGGATGTCAGTTATATGGCTCATTATTGGGGTACTTAAGGGTATTCTTCAGAACCTAGGGTTTCCTTGGTATCCTTTTTTGTGTATTAAAATATGCAATAAACAGTTACTATGTTATTTACAAAAGCATAAAACCATTTTTAGATTTATAAAGGTCCAACTGGGTGTCCTTGGGGTATTTTGGGATATTCTTCGGGTTACCCTGGGATGTCCTTGTGGTAACTTAAGGCTATCCTTTGGTTCTTAAGCAAGTATCCTTTTGATTTGTGTATTGAAGTATATACAATAAACAGTTACTGTGTCATTTACAAGTGCAAATATAAACCATATTTACATGTACATTTATTAATGTTGAATTGGGTATCCTAGGGTACACTGGGATTTTCTTGTGGCACCTTAAGAGTATTATTTGGTTTTATGTGAGTGCCCTTTGGTTTTGCGTATTGAAATACATAAATCATAGTTAAAACATGATTATTTATTTACACTGTATAAAATATTAAAGTTCTTCAAAACTAAACATGCATAATTGAGCTTAATTGTTTAATAATTAATTAATATTACCTATAAATTTTTAACTTGGGTAACTCCTCTATATTTAAGACAATTAATTTAAAAGTGTTAATTTGTCTTTCAAAAACATTTTTTTTCTAATTTACAAGTGCATATAAACCATATTTAGAATAATTAAGGTTGTATATGGTGTCCCTGGGGTACCTTGTGGTATCCCTGGGGTTCCTTGTGGTTCCTTGCGATTCCTTGTGGTATCCTTGTGGTTCCTTGTGGTACCTTGTGGTAAAAAGACATACCCCTTATAACCTTTCATTGATATAAAAGCAACCTTACAATTTTGAATGAAAACATGAGAATGGTTTTGCAAATTTTAAAGTTATAAAACACAAGTTTGAAGTTGATTAAACATTTTCAGATATGAAGAAGTATTTCCATCTTCTTTTTTCGAGAACAATGTAGTTTATTTACCAAATATTTACCTATTTACCAAATTATTTATATTTAATACAGCACTTAAATCTGTTTTTGCTATTTATAATTTTCTATTACAAGACAAAGTTTTTTTCAACATCTGAAATATGAAAAAGGACATGCAGCAAGAGGACAGTGGGTCAAATGTAAAATGCACACGAAAAATCTGTATATTTTATTAATAAATGGTTGAAATACACTTCTGAATTATTTTATACTAGACCAGTAGGTCTATAATGCAAATTTTATTGAGAACATTATTAGACTTATGATAATAAAAGCTAGGAAATCCAAACTTTACACTAGGTGGGATATTTATGTGTGACTGACTGGAAATAATTTTCCAAAATAACATCCATTTATGTACAAAATAATCGAAAGTAATCGAAAAAGTAATTATAATTACATTGAAAATTTTAGCTGTAATCGATTAAATTACGATTACAAGTAATCGAAAATCTCTTCGATTACAGATTACTGTCGATTACTTGAAAAAAAGTAATCATTACAATCGATTACGATTACTCGATTACGATTACCCCATTCCTGTCTAGTATGTGGTTATTTAGGGTGTAGTACTTGTGTTACTTCTTTCATATGCTCATTGTATAGCATTTTTTGGCATTGAACCTCATTCCCCATTTGGCGGCCCATGTCTGGAGTAAGGCTGGGACGATACAACTTTTTCTATATCGATACGTATCCCGATATTTGAGCCACGATACGATATGTATCACGATATGTTTAATTGGTTATAAATTCTTTTTTTTATATTGAAATGAATAAGATATTTCTTCACAAATACGAATAATTTATTCAAAGAAGTTGTATATCTGTTGTAAAACTTAATTATTTTGATCTTAATTATTATGTATTTCATATTCATATTTATATTAAGCATATTCATTTTACATATTAAACCCAAAATGTTTAGTTAACAAAGAAAAACATTAGTCAGAATTTTTTTGGAAATATGTCGATATTTATTCATACGTATCGATATGCGTATCATCCTCACATTGAATCGATATTATCGATATCTCGATATATCGTCCCAGCCCTAGTCTGGAGGCTGTCAAGGTCTTTTTGAGGCTTTATGGTGTCTTCAAAACTGTGTATTGTGCAGTATAAGAGGCAGTCATCGGCAAACAGACAGACTTGTGAGATAACTGAGTCTGGAAGGTCATTTATATGGCAGAGGAATAGGAGTGGGCCAAGCACTGTTCCTTATGGGACCCCAGAGTCCATTGTTACTTCCTCTGATGTTGTTCCTTCGACGAATGGTCCTCATTGTGCGAGATGTTAAAAGAAGGCATGGAGCCATGATAGGATGTTACCCTTTATACTGTTTTGCTGGTCAAAGCCTGTGGATAAGTTTGTCATGCGGAAATGTATCAAAAGCTTTGGAGAAGTCAAGTATGGCCACATTAACTTGGTTACCCTTGTCATATTCCTTAAGGAAGTCATGCATGGTTGTTAATATCTGTGTTTCGCATGAGTATCCTGACCGAAAACCTTGTTTAATGATGTTAGAATTTTGTTCCTCTGTAGATGTTTAAGGAGATGTCGGCAAATTATGTGTTCTAATAGTTTACTGGTGACTGATGTTAGTGATACAGGTCTATAGTTTTCAGTCACATGTTTGTCACCTTTTTTTATATATGCTTGTAATGATATATTTTTGTCTCTCCAGTCCTTGGGTATAGCTGGCCTGAGTCGATTTGAGAGTTGGAATATGATGGTTAGACTTGGTGCGAAGCGTTTGGCGAATTCTTTTAGCATTCTATTTGGTATGTTGTCTGGTCCTGATTTCGCTGTTTTGGTTGTGTCTGGAAGTGGGCCTGCTGGTTCTTTGGTGAAGACAGACTGAAATTGTTTGATAAGTATGCCTGCTTTACCTTTGCTGTCACTGAGTATAGTGCTTCCAGATTTAAGTGGTGAGATTCCAAAGGAGTCCTGTTTTTTTGATTTGATGTATTTCCAGAATGGTTTAGAGTTGTTTTCGTATATTGTGGTTGAATGTTGATGTTTGACCATTCTGCTTTTCTGAGTTGTCTTTTGCATTCTTTCTAAAATTTTCTGTAGTGGGTCCACTTATTTGATTTCCTGGCCTGCTTATAAAGTCGAGACTTTTTCTTAATCATCTTCCTTTCCTTATGGGAAATGTGATCATGTTTATTTGGCCTATCAGGGACCTACATACCTATCAGGGACCTACATACTTAGTATATAGGTCCCTGAGCCTATGTTCTGAAGTAGTAATGTAAGTCCTTGGATCTGTCCAGTCCAGTATGATCACTTAGCTTGAATTACCTAAGTAGCTTTATTTAGCTACTCAAAGTAGTTTTATTTAGCTATTTTAATACAAGTTTTCACATGCTTGCATTTTAGCTTTCCTGAGCTGATAGCAAGTGAGCTTTTCAGATCACCTGTTGTCCATTGTCCATCCGTCCATCTGTCTGTAAACTTTCCACATTTTCATCCTCTTCTCAAGAACTAATGGACCAATTTAAGCAGTCGGTACAAAGCATTCCTTGAGTGAAGCGAAATTTAAATTGTAAAAATGGAGGGCCAAGCTCCCTTCCAAGGGGAGATAACTAAGAAAAGACATAAATAGGGTGGGGTCATTAAAAAATCTTCTCAAGAACTGTTGGGCCAAAAAAGCTGAAACTTATGTGGAAGCATCCTGCTGTAGTGTAGATTCTAAATTGTTCAAATCATGACCCCCAGTGGTAGGGTGGGGCCACAATAGGGAATCCAAGTTTTACACTAAAATATGTTGGAAAACATCTTTGAAAATCTTCTCAAGAAATGCTGAAACTTATGTGGAGCCTCCTGAGTAGTGTAGATTCTAAATTGTTCAAATCATGGTCCCTATGGGAAGGGTGAGCCACAATAGGGAATCGAATAGGAGTTTTAAATTGAAATATATGGGAAAAATCTTTAAACATTTTCTTCTCAAGAACTACTGGGCCAGAAAGCTGAAGAAGCCTCCTGAGGTAGTGTAGATTCTAAATAGTTTAAATCATGGCCTCCAGGGATAGGGGGCACAATAGGTTATCAAAGTTTTACATTGAAATATATGGGAAAAATCTTCAAAAATCTTCTTCTCAAGAACCATTGGGCCAGAAAAGGTGAATGGGGTAGGGTGGGGGCCACAATAAGTATTACAAAGAGGAAAATCTTGTTACAAACAGCAGGATAAAAGTTACTCATGTGAGCATTGTGGTCCATGGGCCTCTTGTTAAAAAGAAAATCAATGATCATATTACTGTCATGAATGTTGCATATTTTGTAGAAAAAGCAGCCTACAGTTATGTGTGGGATGAGAAAGCAGACGCCATTCTTCCTGAACACTACAAGAAGAGATGTCTGGAGTTCATGCATAAAGAACCAATCCCAGTTCATTATGTACCATCTGCTGGAACCTTTGGCATTCATAAACTAACCAAATTACCGTAAATACCTATAACTGTAGCACTGATTGTACACATCTTCAACAAGTGTTTACATTTTTAAAATTGATATACATATATAATTTATATACTGATACACCATTTAATAGGGCTATGAGGTTTTGCATTTTTGTGTAATTTTGTACTTTAGGTTAAATCATAAAAATATGATCAAGATATTCAAACTGGCCTATGTTTACAATTGTATGTCAAATTAAATTGAGAAAAATCAAATTGCTAAGGCAATTTTAATGAGGCTTTGGAGTAGCAAATCATAAAATTTTTCAAACTGTATGGTTAATTATTATTACTGTGTACATGTGTATGCATAAACATAAAGGAATCCTAATGCATTGACTAAATTCCATTTTTTTTAACAAATAAAAATTGTAGAAATAAAATCCAGAATGTCCCCATCCCTGCATTATATCCCCAGGAAGCCAATGAAGAACTGTGGGGTGGAGAAGGAATCATCATGGGCTACAAGATGGACAAGGCTCATCTCAGGCAGAAAAACAGGTCTTTCCATTTATGTGTAATCTTATTTAATGATATCCCTTTAGCTTTAGTTCTACTGGTTGAGATCAGAAGAGCTTATGTATAAGTAAGGTGTATGTCTGTCTGTAAACAGTCTGATTTTAAGAAAATTTTTACAAGTACCAGTGGATTATACTAAGATACTATAAAACACACTTATAAAGAAGTGCCGGAGATGGACAATTTTGGTTCATTGTAAATGTAATTTGTTTTAAACAACAAAATGCTTTCAATGATTGTTAGTATGGGAATTAATGTTGCAACAAAATGCTTTCATTGGTTGTTAGTATGGGAATTAATGTTGCAACATTTTGCTTTCATTGGTTGTTAGTATGGGAATTAATGTTGTAACTGTTGGAGAAAAAATGCATAACCTGCCTATTTACATTGGACACATATTTTGCTTATAAGTGTGTGGAAAGCTACAGTATTCAAAACACTGTAACATGGATGGGGAGGTCAAAAGGTTAAAGTATGATTTTTATTTGGACGTCAAAAACGTTGAACCCCGTGCAAGTGCAACGTCATAAGCGAAAATAAAAATTCACACTCACATTGAACAGTCTGACTGTAGAAGCTGTTGCACTGGTTCTTCCATTAATTGTAACTTACAGAAAGGATAATACAAGGATTTTGAAATATAAATCACATATTCAGACAAGGCAGGGAGTTAAAGAATGTAAATATAAGCATTGAATTATTATTTTTTGAAAGATGTAGTCTCATACTGCAATGGTGTGTGCAAACAAATTGAGTAATGCAGGTTAGCGCGTTATGAAAATTTGTTTGCACACACTGTTGCAGTTATGAGACTGCATCTTTCAAAAAATGATAATTCAATGCTTAAAGATGTACAACACACTGGAGGAGATAACTCTTGCGATTTCAATAAAACGTTTAACATAACGTTAAATTTGACGTTAATTACGAAGCGTCAAAATGACGAGCGATACGATCCTGATGTAATTAATGAAAAAAAAAGAATAGAGGTTTTTATTGTGGTTTCTTTAGGAATACCAAAACCTATCCTTGATCATTTGCGCAATTGCAATAAATCTCCCCCCTCCATAAAAAAGAAAAAAAGACAGGTTCCTTAAACTTCTTTACTTTAAATTTAGTTAATTAATTCTTTAATATTGTATAATTTATTATATACACAAAGGCAATGTTTTAATCTAAAAATGTTAATGCTACTCTACATTGCTTTTTCCCGTTACAATTGGCCGCATAACATTGAGAATAAATGTAACCGGTATGTCTAAATATTATCATATTGCAAAAATAAACATTTTCTTGCTTTTCTCTCTTTGAAAAAAAAATGAAAAAGAGTAATCGTTTTCAGAAGGTCACTGATCAAAGAGAAACAACTCTAAAATTGTAGAGATGTATGTCTTTCTTCCCCTTAGCTGAGTTATTCCTCCTGTTTTCCGAAGAATTATGGGTTTTTTTCCCTCACAAATACACAGATACATTTACAGTGTGTTGCAAGGAACACAAGAACTGAAAGCCAAAGTTTATACAAATTAAAGTAAGTATCAACAGTGAAAAATTATTTATTAAAATTATACAACAGTTGCATCCCATTGAGAAAATATTTTACTGTAAACAGTTTCAGTTTGCATTTCCTCGAATAAAAACAAAATGATTGATACCAATGTAGATGATTCAGGCACATGAATAATTTAATATTGATAAATAATTTACAATTTGGTACAATTGAAGTTAATATGGACGAATACATCATTTCCATTTATGGAAACAACAGAAGGATACAATTGGGGGAGGGGGGCACCCATCTCGTTTGAAAACAGAAATAATTTGAAATCTATACATGTATTTCATTTTCATCACAAGAGAGTTGTACATACACCATTGTTGGTTCACTTAAAAAATAATATTCAATGCAAGTAGAAGTCATATAAAGGCTTGACACTGCACCTGTGTGCATGAACTCCAAACCGGACACGTGGAAAATCCTTAGAAAAATAGTTTTACTAAATATAAATATATAAAAATAATATTTAGGATAACAAAAAATATTAGTAGTCAACATTTAATCTGTATACACGAATGAAGGACATTACTTTAGGAGTTCAATATGCCAATTATATATATTATGCAGACGTAACCAATGTTGTTTTTTTTTTTCAAGCTCGAATGTCCTGCATTGCAGAGAAGAATGGAAGTGGGAGGGGGGGTTCTTAAAATTTCAGAAATTGCTTATTCATCTTCATTTAAATGCAGATGTAAAGTTTTATATTTGTGATAGATATATGTACATTACATTTTTTAGGTAAAAGATATTTTCCACCTAGGAATTTTATTTGCATTTGTAGAATCATAGCATTGCTTTCGTCCCAAGTCTGAAAGATGCTGTGAGAAATGTAACTTACGGAGAGAGGGGGAGGGGAGATTTTCTGCTTTAAATTCAGAACGCGTCGTTTAAAAAATTTTCAAAAAATTATCAAGAACATTTTGATCATCAGTTACAAGAAGTAATTATTTTTTTCAAAATTAAACAACAGATTTTTTCATTAAAAAAATCAAGCATTTTTCAAAGCAAAAATCGATGATAATTTTTCAATTTAAATTCTTCAAGATCGTTTTTCTCGAAGTGTACCTCTACAAATTCACTTTGTTTGTGTGTTTAATAGTTAAACGAACGATTCAGCAAATTTTGACAGCTAGGCTAACATTAAATATTTTAAAATAAGGGATTTTATAATTAGTTGGTTGAATTTTTTTTGTACTCGTGATCAGCCAAAGGGGGTAACTTTAGGAACTTCCTGTCCAAATTTGGCTCGAATGATTTTGACCAAAATGTACATACACATAGTAGATATTGTCATGTATAAGATATACAAAAATAGCGAAAATTAAACGACAGGAAATTTTTGGACTAGGTGTGTTGTACATACTTAATTGGCACTAAAAAGATCCCACACTGTTCAATGGCCCTAAGTGCCGAGTATAAGTCTAAATTTGCAGCCCTCCACCGGCAAGTGGTGGCATCTCCATATGAGTGAAAAATTCTAGAAAGGGATGTTAAACAAACAAACAAACAAAATAAAGCAGTGGAGCTACAGTTTCATCAGAGACTTCTGGTTACATGATGTTAAAATAAATTCTTTTTTCATCCTAGATTACCAAAGTTGTGGAAGCCATTTGTTTGTAAGAGAGCTGTATATAGTGAAATCCTTGACAAATGGTTTGAGATATCTATGACAATGCGAGTCCTAGATTTGATCGATGAATGTCATGGTTTTGATAACTATATTCTAAAAGTGAGTATGATAATTTACTTATCTACATGAAAAGATTCAGATTTAGTACAGAGTCCTCTCTCTTAACTCTCCAGGTGTTTTTGATTTCCCTTCATCACAAACCTTTGATCTGTTGTACTGTGTAAAAGTTGTGATTGTTTATGTTACATACTGTTCTGTGAAGTGAATTTTCAATATTTGCAATGATCATAAACATAGAATATCAATACACAATGATACATCTAGACAAAATTAAAGAGCATTGACTCTGCAAACAGAGATTACTAAACTTATGTGTTTGCTAGAGGCAGGGTCAATCCAAATACAGTCAAATCTGGTTATTCTCAAAGTCAATGGGACCAAAGTATCTGAGGATTTGAGATGGGTAAAAAACATAAAGAAAAAGTGGTTATGACTACCAACTGACTTCAACATATCCCTGATATTTGAGATATCAGGGGGTGTGAAGAGAGGAGCAAATCAGAAAATCTGATGAACAAACAAAAAAATATACACATGTATATATATATACATCTTTTTAGGGTTTCCAGCTTAAAAAAAGGTGGTAGGATAATTTTTTTAATTACTGTATCGTATAAGGTTCTCATCTTCACTTCAGACACATGAACGTGATTTAAACTCTCTACTAGCCATGAAAATTCGGAGAAAAATGTTGCTTGCTCTTGCCAACAAAACCTGTTATCCTAACGACAAAGAGAAACAAGAAAGGATATTACACAAATACCACGAGTTCATCATACCAGTAAGTACAAACCGATATTGATAAAATTAATAGTACAAATTAAATAAAGTATGAGGGGAGAGATCTTTTAACCTTTTATGGTTTATTCTTGATAAATTTTTTGCATTATTTTATTTTCTGTGATTATTGTGTTACAGTAATACAAATTATACTTCATATGAATTTTTTGCTGTAGAAGGTCATGTACTTGTATATAGCTTACATTAACTAATTAATTCTAATTAATTAGAAAATTATTTTTATATATATACATTTTATGTTCAGGTCTAAAAACCTTCTGATAGGAGAGATAACTTTGGAAATATTTTAATCCAAAATATCTGACAATTCATTTTATCAGGTGATAATTATTGAGTCATTTCTCCCTAAGAATCACACCTGCTGACAGAAAAGAACAGAAAATGCAAACTCTTTGATAGTTGTTCATACTTTCTGACCTAAAACATTTGTACCATTTTTAGCTCACCTCAACGAAGTTGGGGGAGCTTATGTAATACCCTCGGCGTCGGCGTCGGCGTCGGTGTCGGCGTCGGCGTCCCAGGTTAAGGTTTTTGGAGCAGTTTTCTTTTCAAGTACTTCTATGGCCTATATTAGTCAGAGATGCATGGAGGATGCTTCTAGTGTGTTTCATTGTACCAGTCAAGGTTTCAGATGCTGCAATTTCAGCTGAAGAATGACCAGGTTAATGTTTTGGAGCAGGTTAAAGTTTTTGGAGCAGGTTAAAGTTTTTGGAGCAGGTTAAAGTTTTTGGAGCAGGTCTCATTTTCAAGTAACTATAAGCCCTATATTGACCAAACTTGCATGGATGATATATCTAAGGATGCACACTACTGAACTTGCTTCAGATGCTGGATCTGACCTACATTTTCCGGATGAGTGACCAGGTTAAGGTTTTTGGAGCAGATCTCATTTTCAAGTAACTATAAGCCCTATATTGACCAAACTTGCATGGATGATGCATCAAGGGATGCACACTACTGAACTTGCTTCAGATGCTGGATCTGACCTACATTTTCCGGATGAGTGACCAGGTTAAGGTTTTTGGAGCAGATCTCATTTCCAAGTAACTATAAGCCCTATATTGACCAAACTTGCATGGATGATACATCTAAGGATGCACACTACTGGACTTGCTTCGGATGCTGGATCTGACCTATATTTTCCGGATGAGTGACCATGTTAAGATTTTTGGAGCAGATCTCATTTCCAAGTAAATAAAAGGCCTATATTGACCAAACTTGCATGGATGATACATTTAAGGATGCACACTACTGGACTTGCTTCGGATGCTGGATCTGACCTATATTTTCTGGATGAGTGACCAGGTTAATGTTTTTGTAGCAGATGTCATTTCCAAGTAACTATAAACCCTATATTGACCAAACTTGCATGGATGATACATCTAAGGATGCACACTACTGGACTTGCTTCGGATGCTGGATCTGACCTATATTTTCCGGATGAGTGACCAGGTCAAAGTTTTTGGAGCAGATGTCATTTCCAAGTAACTATAAACCCTATATTGACCAAACTTGCATGGATGATACAGCTAAGGATGTACACTACTGGACTTGCTTCGGATGCTGGATCCGACCTACATTTTCCAGATGAGTAACCAGATTAAAATTTTTGGAGCAGATCTCATTTCCAAGTAACTATAAGGCCTATCTGATCAAAACTTGCATGGATGATGCATCAAGGGACGAACAATCTCAAAACTTGCTTCGGATGCTGGATTTGACTTACATTTTCTGGATGAGTGACTAGTTTTAAGTTTTCAGATAAGTCTATTACCAAGTAACTGCAAGCCCTATCAGACCAAAATTGCATAAATGTTGCATCTAGGGATGCACACTCCTAGATTATTAGTTTAGTGTGGGACTTTGCCTTAGTTAAAGGCAACATTCGTTGAGGTGAGCTCTGTAATCTCTGATTACCTATGTTTTTTTACTTGATACAAATTAGAATATTTCTATCTTTTCATATATACAGTGTACATGAGAACCTAAAACTAGCATAATTTGTCATATACCATCTGTAGAATTATCATTATTATATATATATATATATATATATATATATATATATATATATATATATATATATATATATATATATATATATATATATATATATTCCCTACAAAAAGAAAAAACTTATTAAGAAAGATAATTCTTGTTCTTGGCTGGACCTTTTTTTAGCTCACCTGAGCTGAAAGCTCAAGTGAGCTTTTCTGATCACCCATTGTCCGTCGTCCGTCCGTCTGTCCGTCCGTCTGTAAACTTTTCACATTTTCAACTTCTTCTCAAGAACCACTGGGCCAATTTTAACCAAACTTGGTACAAAGTATCCTTCGGGGAAGGGGAGTTTAAATTGTTAAAATAAAGTGCCAAGTCCCCTTACAAGGGGAGATAATCAAGAAAAGAGAAAAATAGGGTAGGGTCATAAAAAAATCTTCTTCTCAAGAACCACTGGGCCAGAAAAGCTGAAACTTATATGGAAGCATCCTGGGATAGTGTAGATTCTAAATTGTTAAAATCATGACCCCCGGGGGTAGGGCGGGGCCACAATAGGGAATCCAAGTTTTACATTGAAATATATAGGAAAAATCTTTAAAAATCTTCTTCTCAAGAACCACTGGGCCAGAAAAACTGAAACTTATGTGGAAGCATCCTGGGGTAGTATAAATTCTAAATTGTTAAAATCATGACCCCGGGGTAGGGCGGGGCCACAATAGGAAATACAAGTTTTACATTGAAATATATTGGAAAAATCTTTAAAAATCTTCTTCTCAAGAACCACTGGGCCAGAAAAGCTGAAACTTATGTGGAAGCATCCTGGGGTAATGTAGATTCTAAATTGTTCAAATCATGACCCCCGGGGGGTAGGGCGGGGCCACAATAGGGAATACAAGTTTTACATTGAAATATATAGGAAAAATCTTTAAAAATCTTCTTCTCAAGAACCACTGGGCCAGAAAAGCTGAAACTTACGTGGAAGCATCCTGGGGTAATGTAGATTCTAAATTGTTAAAATCATGACCCCCGGGGGTAGGGCGGGGCCACAATAGGGAATCCAAGTTTTACATTGAAATATATAGGAAAAATCTTTAAAAATCTTCTTCTCAAGAACCATTGAGCCAGAAAAGCTGAAACTTATGTGGAAGCATCCTGGGGTAGTGTAGATTCTAATTTGTTCAAATCATGACCCCCGGGGGTAGGGCGGGGCCATAATAGGGAATACAAGTTTTTACATTGAAATATATAGGAAAAATCTTTAAAAATCTTCTTTTCAAGAACCACTGGGCCAGAAAAGCTGAAACTTAAGTGGAAACATCCTCAAGTAGTGTACACTCTAAATTGTTCAAATCATGACCCCGGGGATTGGGGGGGGGGGGGCACAATAGGGAACCCCAAGTTTTACATTGAAATATATAGGAAAAATCTTTAAAAATCTTCTCAAGAACCACTGGACCAGAAAAACTGAAACTTATGTGGAAGCATCCTGGGGTAGTGTAGATTCTAAATTGTTCAAATCATGGCCCCTGGGGTAGGGCGGGGCCACAATAGGTATTACAAGGGGGGAAGTCTGGTAATGAACAGCATGGCCAAAGTTACTCAGGTGAGCGATGTGGCCCATGGGCCTCTTGTTTTTTTTTACAATAGATAAAAATGTGATATTCGAAGTCAAAAAGCACTGCTTCATTATGTTTCTTAACATGAATTTATTATGTATTACACTAAATATTAATTCTATATATACCACATATTTTTAATTTTATTCTGTGATAATGGATTTTTGATCTTTCTATTCACTGTGCCACTTCTTTTCAAACTTTTTTCCCATTTGAATTTGATGTGTTTTTGTTGATGAAAATTAATTTTAGGAATTTTTAATTTTTATATGATATTTAGAACAGAGGGTCATAAGACCTTTTGAAATCATTGCATAATTTTCAAAATCATTGATTTGACCCTATTATTGACCCTGTCAGGCAGAGGAGGCAGAGTGGGTGGGGCTTACCGTGTCAGAGGCGTTAATAAAAGCCAAGGAAGCAAAGAAAGCTGAGCCAGAAAACCAACCCAAACCACTGAAAGATCTGTATGAAGAAAACCTAGTCCTAAAGCTTCATTGTAAGTGGTCATATTTGTAGCAAAATAACTGGGCACAATTCAGTTTTTTTTTTAAATCAAAATTTACAGGAGGTTTTGAAGAGGGATGTAATTGATGCTTATCCACCAGAGTTTTGAGAAGAAAAAAAAATCATGGGCACTTACATTTGATCACAAAAACATCAGTTCTATGGTTCACTAATCTACTGCCCAGTGACCTTGACTTTTTAGTTATTACATGAACCGTGAGCTAAGTTTGGGACACATACATGTATTTAGGTTATTGAAAACAATACTGTATACTTAATTTTGACTTCATTCCAGTCAAGGGTTTGGCAGTGTTTTGTGACAGACATACAGACAGACAATATCTCTTCCCAGTATTGGAGGAGACACAATGAGAGCTAGGGCCTTCTAAGTTTCCCAAATGTAGAAAAAATACTTTTAGAATACATACATTTTTAAGGGATGGTAAAAAAACATGATAAGAAGATAGTTTATAGGATGTAGAAAAGCCTGTTGCTGTCAATATGGGCAGTGCTACGCTTCATCAAAATATTAAACTTTGGTGTTCCTCCCCCTTTTTATTGTATGTATTAAGTTGTCACTATATCTAGGTAAACATTATATCATGAGGTACAGTCAAACCTCTTATCTTGAACTCGATGGGACCGAGAAAAAATACTTAAGAAATACCTGGTAAGGACTTCCCATTCACTTCGAAATGTCCATGGTATTCAAGATATCTGTGTTCAAGATACTGAAGTTCAACTGCATATGCATCATAGTAACCCTGATCATTAATATATATACCTTATCTTTGTTTGAGTTCATGTTATAATGATGTTTGTAATTTCTTTGCAGTGATAAAAGAAAACAGATGGGAACAAATTATGGAAGAAATTGAAAAACCCAAAGAAGAAACAAAGGAAGCACCTTCTATGATAGCAAAACTGAACCCCTTCTCCCAGTATAACAGAGCCAAAAAGAAGTCTTGACACCTTGAAATAAATGCAGTAAAACATTTTTTTTTCTAGCATTTATAATGTTTCCTGCCTTGGCAACTGTAAGAAAAATGGACATTCTCTACAGACATAATTTACAACCGAGTGCAGGAATTCTGTGAAGGGATTCATTCTAGGGTCTGATATACAAGTGTGCATGCACTCAAAATCAGTGACAATTTAATCAAGTGAAGGATCACAGTGTATGGAAATATAAATGTTTTATTGGTATATATATGTATTTAAGTGTTTTGACATCCAATGCACATAAATTAATGTATAAAATTATTGATTATTAATTGAAAATGTGTGTATTATTTGGGAGAATAGTAACTTAAATTGGATTATTTCCCTTAGCGTGCGAGTTCTATAGCTTTTACAGCACATTGACAGCATGGAACTTCAGTAAAGTATAGGTTACCTGCTGTGGTACAGTAACACGACACCATTAAGTTTATATACTGTGTTAAGATTAAACCATACCTAATATGAAAGGATTGGCCATGCAGTTTGCATATGAAAAGAGCACAGAAAGAACGCCTCTTTGCTGGTCAAGTGTCCAGATGTCCGACACGAATCGGACATTTGGCCAGCGAAGATGGCAAAGACGAGGTCTGAGTTACAAATTTCTGGACATCAATTTCTTTCAAAATTATTATTTTAAATCTAAATCTAAAATGTGGACTTTATTTTTATCTCAAAATGCTTACTACACACATGTTTCAATTCTGGTCAAAATTAAGCAGTAGAACTTTACTGATTACCACCAAAGTGCGAAATGATGAGTATAAGCCCGGGTATCCATTTCACAGCTGTTTCAATTGAAATGGAGGCTTTGGATTGCATAAAGTTATTCGAAAAATTTAAAGGCATATCCTTCATTAGTTATGGAGCTTCTCGTCATGCCGGAGGAGACTCTTGACTTCTAAAGACGTGCATATTCAGCACTTTCTCAAAAAAGAGACCATCAACGGCGACACGGGGGTCTTCCTTTAAGTCTTGAGGTAGAAGAAAATGTGTGTTGATAAAAAGACTCAACGAAAGCGCGTTAACATAGCGACCCACTGTGCATACCCGACGCGCCGAGAGTTGCCTAAATTATCGTCTGCACATTGTTCTAAATCATGTTGTTGCATACGAAAAATAACAGCCTGTAATTGACTGTGTTGACTTAAGGCATTAGATTTCATAAGGACACAATTTGATTCTTGAAAGCCTTGTGTCATCCGCCCGATCCTCTAAAGTTTGATCTGACCTACGACATTTAACTAAACAGAAACGATCTTCAAAAGATATTGTGTTTTTAGTTCAAGTGCCCTTGCGATCTTTCAATCAATTCTAAAGTAAGATATTTGGAACACTGCATCGATTGTGTGTTAGTGTCATCAATGCAGGTGAACACCACTCAATCCCCGGTGGCTGGATTCAGAGAAATACATGTAAGAGTTACACCCCCTTTTTTAATTAAAAAAAAATAAACAAAAAAACAAATAGAATAACACCTACATGTACGACTCCAAAAAAAACTATTTATTAACATCTTTCTGGGATTTTATGTATCTGCTTTTGTGTGTCCCTAACCTTGCGTCTCCACCCAAACGGAAATGGTGATTCCAGAATACCTGGACAATTGCTTTGTTGGGATATAATCACCGAAGTTTCGTCTGGCATTCCAATTTTAAGTCTGAAAGTACAGTTCATTAAATTTTATACTGTAGGGGAATAAACGACAAAAACAAATTAAATTTCCAAATAAACAAATAAACATAAGTGACAGTGTACCAACGTCACATAAATTAACTTCTTGGTTAATTTTATTCCATGAATAAGTAAGTTTATAATGCGTATCTTAAAACACGCCAATTTATTTCATGTGAATAATCAAGTTTATTGCGGCAAACTACAGTAATGATTACACTCGAAGGAAAGGAAATGTGATTGGTCCTCACTGGACCGGAACCTTAATGTGGTTTTTTTTCTTCTCTCTTTAGGTAACAAAGTGAATTGTCACTTTTGTCAGTCATTATTAGGAATAGTTTGTATTTACACCACTTCAAAAAGTCGCCAACTTTGCATATAAAGAGTTGATTTAAAAGTGGTCAGTACCAATTATCTAAATGACATTTTCAAACTTAGTTTTAATAGGCAAATTTGTGACCTTTTCATAAAAAAAAAAAAACGAATGTAAAAGTGGATAATTAATGAAATGCTTATTTGATTTTCAAATCTACTTCGGACATAATATTCCAGATATATTTTCATCTTGTCTAGCTTATGTCTCACTCCCCCTGGTCTCTCTGTTTCGCGGCTAAATAATCGATCTGTAGAATATCACCATCCCAGTCCAATCAAACATTAATTTGTTAACGATTTCCGTACGTAGCAAGTTATTGAGTGTTCTCAGGAAACCGAGACAGGAATTGAAAAGATAATTTTTCGAAAGCAGTACCGAAAACATTGATATTTCTAAGAAAAAATATAGTGTATCGTATTTTTATACGGCATATGGAGTTTGCATGGTCTCGTGTAATGATGAACATACGTAAAGGTCTTTGATGGCAGAGAGCAGTCCATTATTCCAAAGTTACACAATATTCTGAATGCGGATCTTATTCAATGTCTGTTACTTAGTTCTGAAATTTCATTGCCCAAAAATAAAAACCAAACGCTATAGTTTATTCGTACTTTATTCTTTTACGCGTGTTCTTGTGTAATTTGACGGAAATTTCATCGCTCTGGATAACAATCGGTGACAGACTACATTACTTATCCATAAAACACACGTTTGTCAAAAAAATTTAAAGTTGTCACAGGAAACCAAATTACCTGTATAAATCATAAATGTACTTTATCATAATAAGTCTGATTTGAACTTGAAATGTTTTAAAAAGTTATTCAGAGGATCAATCAATCATGGATTCTTCGAAATAAAAACTCCAATTTTGGCGACGTCCATGCATATAGACATTGCAGTAGGACGTATAGATTTTCTGTGCAAAGCTGTTAAAAACTTCATATTTTTTAAAAGAAGAGTAAAATTCAGTATTTATTTGAGAGTTAAAAATCCAGCCCTTTATTTTGTACCTTAACATCTCTGATCATTTCAACGTCAAAGAAGGAGTATTTGATTTTTCGATATAATGAAGTTAAAGACAATACGAAACAAACCACTCAGAAATCCCAAAAGCAGTCCGCCTCCCCCAAGTTCTTGATATTATTTCTAGTCTGCCTACGATTTCGAACATTTAAAAGGTTATATTTATTTTCTAATGAGGTCCTTTGATTTGGTAGTATTGCGAGTGTTTAGCAAGAAAAGGTAGCCGTTCTAGGAATCTACACCTGGACTACTTTTGAACTTTAAATAGGTGCATAAATATTTCATGTTACATAAAAATTCAAGTGCATAAGCACTGCATTGAAAGTGTGTAAGCACAGTTGAGACCAGTTTTTATGTTGTATTTCATGGAGTAAGATTAAGTCCATTTTGACTTTTGAATCTTGCCGTTTAACACAGAGGTAATGTGAGCATCATCCCCCCCCCCTCCCTAAACTTAAAAGACGCTGTATATATGCACCAATTAAACTGGATGGAAATTACCAGATATTTTCAATGATAAAATTTACTTCGATATGAGTCGCACCGCTTATGTTTGACAGGAATGCATTACGCTATTTTAAGAACGTCATTACACATGATAAAAACAAATCCAAACTATCACTAAAACGTGTTACATGTCAAGGACATTCACTTTTTAGCTCACCTGAGCTGAAAGCTCAATTGAGCTTTTCTGATCACCCGTTGTTCAGCGTCCGTCCATCTAGCTGTCTGTCCGTCCGTCTGTTAACTTTTCACATTTTCTGGAGAACAGCAGTGCTAACTGCTAAAGTTACTCAGGTGAGGGTAGTGGCCCATGGGCCTCTTGTTCGTGGTTTGTAATTTTCAGAAATATATATATATATATATATATATATATATATATATATATATATATATATATATATATATATATATATATATATATATATATATAAAATAGTACACGAGTTTACAAATTGTGATTTTATATAACCTGCGTTAGCATAAGATAATTTTCCCCGATTTTAAAATCGGTGCTTATTTTACTAAATTTTGGCGCTGAGCATTTGTTGGTAAAAGGAAACCTGTATTTCATGTTTTCCCAGCCAGTGGGATCAGAGAGGAAGGATCAAAACCTCCTCCAAAGTTTTAATATTCTTTACTACAAACTGCATGATGGTATTTAACATTCTATCTACTTAATTAATCAATCCAAGATACTCTCGGGTGGGATTATGATGATCAAATAATAAAAAGACAAATCTTAAAACTATCTTTTACTATACTCGTTTAGATATTTGGACAGTAAACTGTTTGCGTTATTAAAATGATTGATAATCCCTCTATGCAAATCTTTAAAATTCATGCCCTTGGTGAAAGGTCCAGGCCCCTTTATTGATATTAAGGAGGCTGGGGGTCAACAAATTAACCATCAAATATAACTTTATTTTTTTTAGATATGATATCTTAAGCTGTCAACTATCATTTGGCAAACAAAAATTTCGTTCATTTTAGTTTTAAAATTTGATCATTTTTTAACATTCAGAACTACTGCCTATAGGCAGAAACGTTTTAAGGACCCTCTCTACGCTGCACCCTATTTTCAGGGCACTGTCCTTTCTGACATATTTTATTTTATCAAATAAATTCTGCAATATGACTACTTTAAAGTAGTCAAATTGCAGAATTTATTTGATAAAATAAAATATGTCAGAAAGGACAGCACTTTTGTGTAATTAGACTGACCTACTGTTTGACATACAAGTAGAATAAATTGTAATCTGAACTAAATCACATAATTTGAAATAAATCCAAGTATTCTAAACATTATATTAGACCAAGGTAGAGTATTTGAAAACTTTATTTGCATGTATTTTATCCATTTGAGTAAGTGAAGGCAATTTTTCTTTTCTATTACTTCATTGTCTTTGAAGATTTTTTCCTGAATAAAAAAGGCATGCTTCCTATATTAAAAATGAGTTAGTTAATTTCAAATTATCCTCCTTTATTCTAAATAATTTTCTCAAAGTCCCAAAAACATTTTTCATCAGTGTATAGAGGGACCTTAATTTTAATTATTTAAAGTAAAATAAAAAGTTCTTGAGGTGAATGGTGTTAAAAGAAAACATTTCAAATATTACACTTGCAGAGCTTTATAGGTAGAGATAAAAAAAAATAGCCCC